ATAATATATAAATAATATATAATATTATATATAATTATATAATTATATATAATATATAATTATAATATATAATATATAATAAAATATAAAATATATAATATAATATTATATATTATTACCTATTATACACGAAGATGTACTAAAGACTATTGGCAAAATCACACAGCACTTGAAAAACTGCAATGTTTCTACATAAATGTGACTAAAAGATAACAATTTTTAACTTATATTTATTGAAATGGACCTTCTTAACAACTGCTCAATTATAAGATTAGATAATTACAAACACTGAATTTATTTTTAGCAAAAGTTCTCCACTTTTCTGAGTAAATCTGTAGGAATGGCAGACAGAATTATTCAGGCAAATATTCTAGAACTTGAGTACTCTATGACCCCAGATTGCTAATATAAACTCAAGAAGCCCTGTATTTTCCTTCCTGTGGAATGTATTCTAACAGCCACTCTTCCAAATCTCTGAAGATAACTCTATCCCTGCGGTCACTTCATCACCTGCTCTTTAGATAGAGTTCAAGTAATGGCTGTATCCAAGTTAATTATCAATCAGAGATGCTATGCTCTGATTCACTGTGAGGCCTTTGACTATTTCCTATTTGATCTAACATTCAGAAGAAATACACGGAAAGAAAAATTCAGGTAATATAACTTTACAGTTATCCTTACTTACCTTGGGTGAGCGAATGAAAGTCTACCAGTCTAAAGTAAAATAAGCCTAATATATTAATGTGTGAAGAATCTTGACTACCTCTCCAGCAAAAGACATTTGCCCAGGTCCTAAACTTAATCAGTTCTGATAAAAACAGATAATGAACTCCATTCACAGGAGCATGGCTGGATAACAAGAGTTGGCATCCCTGCAAATTACGATGAAACATGCAGAGAAGAAAGAGCCTTCACTTACTTGCACGAAGGACTGAAGGTGTCACTTCAATCTCACTTGTCGCTTGGTAAGGCTGAAAGGCGGAGACACTGCTGGTGCCCAGCTCACTGCCAAATACCTCTGGACTCTGGGTGCCCGTGGAGCTGGCACTGGTGCCGTCACCTCCATGATGTGGATCTTGCTCATCAAACACTGCCACCAGCTAGAAATGGAAGGTAAATTTGCATTTATAAACAAAGGCATTTATAATTGCTACCAAAAACTTATACCACACTGGACATAAATCGATAGAGGAGAAATACTGCTATCTAAGCACCCAGAAATGTTATGTCTTAGGAAGCCAAACTTCAACGAAACAGTCTTTCCCTGAGTTTTGATGGTTTACTTTTTTATTTCTCAGTTGTGCATTTCAAATCCAAAACTCTAAGGATGAAAAATAATAAAATGGTTTTATATCACAGAATGCTAAAGGAAATAGGGTCGATTTAAATCTTTTTGTAAATGATATACTAAGAGGAAAAGAAAATGGATTTTTATATGTAATGCATATGTATGATATATAGTACTGTATATACAGCAAAAGGTAGAAGGTACCTTTCACTCAGTAGGAAAGAGTATTAAAAATTATACATGTGTCTGCCCATTTGTGCATAAGAAATATAGGAAGGATAAAAGACAGTTATCACCCAGAAGTTACTAAGAACAGGGTTGAAAGAAAGAAAATAGGAACAATGAAGGAGGTAGGAGAGAAAAGAATTAAGTAATTTTAGAAAACTATTTTCACTGCTTAATCTAAGGTTAGAGAAAAAAACAACTTTCACATAAATTTGTTTCTCACAAGTGCATGGCTTACAAATTCTCACACTATTGGGGTGCCTGGGTGGCACAGTCGGTTAAGCGTCCGACTTCAGCCAGGTCACGATCTCGCGGTCCGGGAGTTCGAGCCCCGCGTCAGGCTCTGGGCTGATGGCTCAGAGCCTGGAGCCTGCTTCCGATTCTGTGTCTCCCTCTCTCTCTGCCCCTCCCCCGTTCATGCTCTCTCTCTGTCCCCAAAATAAATAAACGTTGAAAAAAAAAAAAAATTCTCACACTATTAGACAGACACACACACACAAGTAATGAATAAGAAAGAAAAATATTTTGAATAATGAAAGTCAAAATTCTCACTGTCAGAAACAGAAATTACAAATAACGAAATAAATTCTGTGATGTTAGATTGAAATTACAGGCATCAATATAAATATGTGGTTTTGTAAGCGGGCAGGTAGACTGACAAGATAGGGATGGATGAATGTTAATGCATGTGTGGTTCTTAGCCCTGCCCACTGAGAGGTCCTAGAAGCGATCACACCGTGTGAAGGAACACAAGTGCCTGAATCTTGGCCTCTGATACCATTTTCCAATAAATGAACAAGGGCTCCCTAGAAAAATAGCTGATTCCAGGGTTGGGGCAGAGAAAATGATAGATGGGCCTGGAACACCTTGGCAATGCTAAAAAGTAAAGCTGTACTCAAAAGTGAAGGAGGCACATCAAAGGGAATCAGGTGTGGGACGTCTGGGTGGCTCAGTCGGTTAAACGTCTGACTCTTGGTTTTGGCTCAGGTCTAAATCTCATGATTCTGTGCATTTGAGACCCGCACTGGCCTCTGTGCTGACAGCATGAAGCCTGCCTGGGATTCTCTTTCTCTCTCCCTCTCTCTCTGCCCCTCCCTCATTGACACTCTCTCTCTCAAAACAAATAAATAAACGTAAAAAAAGAAAGGGTCGGTGTCTGGGTGGCTCAGTAGATTGAGTGTTCAAATTCGGCTCAAGTCGTGATCTCAGAGTTCATGAGTTTGAGCCCCACATCGGGCTCTGTGCTGACAGCTCAGAGCCTGGAACCTGCTTAGGTTTCTGTGTCCCCCGCTCTCTCTGCCCCTCCCCCACTCACGCTCTATCTCTCTGACTCTAAGAAATAAAAACACATAGTTTAAAACAAAAAAAAATCAGGTGCCAACCAGAAAGAAGTCCCAATGGCCAAAGCTGAGACAACCTGTAAACAAGTAAATAATAATACAGTTAGATTTTAGCTCCAAAATAAACTAAATATGTGTGAATCCATGATGATATAAGTAAATCTTTGAAGAAATCATTAATGGTGGAAAATAGACAGCTCTTCCACACCATAGCATTGCAATTAATAGTTATAGAAGAAATGATGGAAATAGAAGAAATCACCAAGCAATCTCCACAGCAATAGTTGTTGCAGGCGAGATCACCAATGGAAGCTAAAACTACTGGGTGAGAATATGATGAGAAACAGGATATTTGCAGATCTCAAAGTATCTCCCCACAAAATACTTTTTAATTAAAAAGAGAAAAATAGTATCTTTGCAGGGGAGAAACTTGCAGAAACCACTTTACCAAGGTTAACATCACCAGTAATGTCATATCACCCTCTGATAAAATGCAGAGAAGGAGAGGCGCCTGGGTGGCGCAGTCGGTTAAGCGTCCGACTTCAGCCAGGTCACGATCTCGCGGTCCGTGAGTTCGAGCCCCGCGTCGGGCTCTGGGCTGATGGCTCAGAGCCTGGAGCCTGTTTCCGATTCTGTGTCTCCCTCTCTCTCTGCCCCTCCCCCGTTCATGCTCTGTCTCTCTCTGTCCCAAAAATAAATAAACGTTGAAAATGCAGAGAAGGATATAAAATTACTTCTGTGTGATTCCTGCTGAAAATGTGTATCTTTGATCTAATCATCAGAAAACATCAGATATATCCAACTCAAGGGGCCTTGTATAAAATAACTCTTTAAAAATATTAAAGTCATGAAAGTCAACGAAAAGCTTATGAAATTGTGGAAGTTGGAAGAGACAGAGCAGTGTGCGGTCCTTGTCTCGATCCTGGGCTACAAAAAGGACATTAGTAGAAAAGAGACAAGAGGTGCATGGATGGCTCAGTCGGATGAGTGTCCTACTTCAGCTCAGGTCACGATCTCAAGGTTTGTGAGTTTGAGCCCCTCAATGGGCTTGCTGCTGTCAGCATGGAATCTGCTTTGGATCTTCTGTCCTCCTCCCCCTCTCTCTCTGCCCCTCCCCTGTTTGTGCTCTCTCTCTCTCAAAAA